ACCACAAGGGCCTAGGAGTACTGGTAATGCCAATTCTGAATAAATGAAGATTTAGGAGAAAGTGAGGTCTTCACACAGCAGAGGAAACCTGACCTGGACCTCACATACGGGTGGGATTCTGATTGCGTTTCTACTTGTGTTTCTTGCTGTCAGTCGGTCTGTTTTACCTTCCAGAGAAGATGCTGTGTTTTCCTATAGACTGTGTTTTCTTTAAGTCTACTTAGATGTCACTCTACTCTGGAGATGTTAAGAACTGACAATAGCTTTCTAATCTGTGCTGTTGGACGAAATCTTTTATTTTCATGAAGGGCGTGCTGTGTTGGTAAAGAACTTCATGCCTCTTCAGGAAGCTAATCAGTCCATAGAACTGTCCCGATACTGCGGAGCATCTGAAAGTCTTTTTTAAGATTTCAGCCCAGGGGCACCTGGGTGGCTCAGTCATTAAGCATCTGCCTTCGGTTCAGGTCATGATCCCTGGGTCCTGGGTTTGAGCCCCACATCGGGCTCCCTGTTCAGCAGGAAGCCTGCTTCTCCCTCTCCCACTCCCCCTGCTTGTGTTCCCTCTCTCACTGTGTCTCTCTGTCAAATAAATAAATAAAATCTTAAAAAAAAAAGATTTCAGCCCAGCCCATGCTCCCTCAGGGGAGGCACCAGATGGATGCCCACCTGGGCTCCCATACCCCTGCTGGGAGTCTGTGTTCTTAACAGTAAGAGACAATTTTTAAATAAACTTATCATATAATTTGAGAATCATATAAATGCTTAAAGCGAAGGATAATTTCAAAACTACCTATAAAGGTACATGGTATATACTAATTTGTGAAGAAATTTCTTGAATGAATTTGTTGAATGCATGAATGGTAGACATTCCTGGATTTTGCTCAAAAAAGCTTTTTTTAATTTTAATTTAATTTTTTTTTAACAAAGGAAAAAATAACTTTTGAAATGGGCCTCAAAGGAACTCCTGGACTCTGAGAATAAGGTACTGGTAAGCAGTTCCCGGCAAGAAGAAGCACATGCTCTGATGAACCAGGTGTATAGGGAACACGAGAAGGGTAATTGATACTGACTTCGGATAAGTGTGGGGAGGCGAGCTGAGAGGTAGGTAACTGGGAGAAAAGGTTTGGGAGCAAGGAGGTAACAAGATGAACAGAGTGTTTGTAAAAGAATTTTCTGCTTGCTTAATGGACTGGGAGCAGAGACCAGAGGCAAGCTGACTGCTGTAATACGACTAAGTCAGTCATGGAGCTGTCTGGTGTGGAAGAGATGGTGAGGCCAACATACAATACATGAGGAAAAGCCAGCAGGGCTTGAGGCCTGCATGGTAAAGAGCCAGCATTTACTCAATGGGGCTTCCTTCCAGAGGAAAGCTCCTTCCATTGACTGTCGTGGCAAAAACTGTATCTCTTTGTCTGAGGATGCTGCTGAGCTGAGCTCTGCTTTAAATGTGACCTTTAGAGAGTTAGACCCACAAGACTCAAGTAAGAGCAAGAGAGAAATTTCAAGACAATGCCAGACCAGGGCTTTGTGAAGCTAAAGAGTAGGTACGTCCAAGCACTACCCAAAGGCCATGCGCAGACACCAACTTCATCCCAGGTGTCTCAGTCTGTTAGGGCCGCTACACCAAAATGCCACAGACTGGGTGGCTTATAGATAATAAACATTTCTTTTTCACAGTTCTGGAGGCTGGAAGTCCAAGACCAAGATGCCAACATCACTGGTTCTGGTAAAGGCCCTCTTCTGGGTTGCATGCTTCCCTGGGTTACATGGCAGAAAGGGCAAGGGATCTCTGCAGATCCTCTCTTACCAAGGTGCTATCCCGTCATGAGGGCTCCACCCTCATGACATATATACCTCTCAAAGGCCCCATGAACTAACACCATCACAATGGGCATTAGGATTTCAACGTATGAATGGGGTGGGGCATACATGCAGACCACAGCACCAGGCTATGGAAGAGAGAGACCAGTGTGGAGATGATCCTCCAATGCTCACTAGTCACACTAGAGAGGCCTCCCTCTCTCTGAACTTCTCTGAGTAGTCGGGACGCATGAACGCTTTCTCAGTTCACACCTAATAATGGAGCAGACGCTCAACAGGTTGGAGAAGAAAGAGTAAGATCTTGATAGTCTAGCTCTTCACCCGTCACAACGGCAGTCACTCTGTAGGTATCTTTCTCTCCCTAATGGGTGTGCTTTTACGGTCCTTTTCTCTCATCATTTGACTTTTTGGTCTCATCCCTTCTCTAATTAATTGAAGACTGCCCATGGTTTCCAAGGAGTTGAACTGATATTCCACCAGACATCCATGTTTTCTTGTGACTTTCTCATTCTACTTTCCCACTGTCCAATCACCCTCAATTATCTTTCCTGTTCCATTTATGACCCCATCACTATAAAGAAATCAACTGGTATGACAAGTCTGGTAAAGAGCTGAAAGAAGAGCCTGGGGTAGACTTGGATTTTATACCCAGTGCATCTTGTCACATAGTTGCCCTTTGTTATCAGATTGAACCTCTTCAATTCTTGTATCCTCATCCACACAATGAAAATTCTAATACCTTCTCTGCAGGGCGAGTGTGAGGACTACAGATGGGGCACATGATGCCTCTAGCACAGTGCTCCCAAGGCAAGTTTTCCACAGACTATGGGCTTAACTCTTCTGCTCATCTTGGTAGAAAAGCAGTGACTACCTTCACAATGAATTGATCTATATTGTAATAGCCATTAATAATTAACAACAAAAAACTAGGCACACACAGTAACTTAATGGAATTTCTTTCACTTGATTAGAAAACAGCATTTTTAAATATAACAAATAACTTAATTGGCAATTTAACAATTTAAATTGCAATCAGTAGTGGCCTCTTGAACTTCATAATAAACAGTATTAAATCCTCAAAAATAGAATGATACCTTCTGTCTGAGGATAGAAGTATTTTGTTTTAGAAAGGAGAATATCCCTATGTCTATCCTTACAGAAGCCTGGATGATTTTTGTGAAGGAGAATAAAACAAGTAAAATCCCAGCTACTTTTGCCAGAGAATGCCCCCCCTCTTCCTCTTCTTTTTCCAAAAGCAGCAGGCGAGGCTCCATTGGGCTGCTCGGTGGCTCTCATTACCGTGGCTGGCTTCTCTGGCTCCTGGGGAGACCTTGCTCAAGGTCAGCTGAGCCGGCTTCCGAGGAGCCACACCTGACCCTACCCATGGAACCTGAGCTCTGAGTCATTTGCTTGGCGAAGAGCTGATCTGGGAAAAGGCAAAAGTCAGAGATGCTGGCGTGAAAGGTAGATGAGTCATAGACAAGGAACAAATCTTTCGTTATGGAGGACCAGCTTTAGGAAACGCAGAAATGGAAAAAAAAAGCTGTTTGGGGAAAACTAGCTCGTATTTTTGGTCAGGACCATTTAACTCACAAAAAAAGGCGCGCAAAGGTTGTTTCTGATCCCAGCAATTTCTTAAGTACCTAGCGCTTGCACTACAAAAGAATAAAAAAATCTGTCCCAGAGAAGTTTTGAAAAAGGAAACTTTCCAGGAGAAACTGACTTTATCAGTGACTTAAGTTTGACTCAGATAACAAGAAGCCAGAAACAAAGCGAACACTGTAACTTAGTCCCTGAAATTGCAATCACATGGATAATACATAGAAATCAGTGTTTATGTATTCCTTTAAAAATGACTCACATATACAGCATACAGGAGGTTTCATAGTCTAGGTTGAAAAAAACGCAAAAGTTTAACCAAAAGAACATTACAAGGTCATCTTATGCCTTTCTTTTCTTTTTTGATTTCCTTAAACAAGGAACCATGTTTTATTATTATTTTTTTTTACTTTAAAGATTTTATTCATTTATTTGACAGAGAGAGACACAGCGAGAGAGGGAACATAAGCAGGGGGAGTGGGAGAGGGAGAAGCGATGCGGGGCTTGATCCCAGGACCCTGGATCATGACCTGAGCCGAAGGCAGACGCTTAACGACTGAGCCACCCAGGCGCCCCACGAGGAACCATGTTTTAAAAAGACACACCTTGTACTCTAAAAACAAAGTAATCTTAAATGCACGTATTGAGAAGCAGTGAAAAACATTAATGACAAGACTAGTACATAAGCCTTCGTAAGGCTACTTATCTGTAATGTAAGAGCTCAGAAAAGAACAAAGCTTTAATGAACTTTTAAATGCAAAAATTGCCAAAACATTTGGATAAGAAGACAAAAATGATGCTTTTCCCAGCGATCTTTTTAATTAAATGCTTCCATCTTATTTACGGGAAAACGGATATAAAAACAACTGAAAACAACTTGCACCCAAGGACCTGAGTTTATTTGAGAATGAGAATTAGTGTCCAAGAATTAGTGTCTCCAACCTAGGTGACGTTTGCACTACTGAGTCACGTGGTTGAATCCTTTCTAATCTCCCCAGTGCAGGACCTGGCTACGTAAGAATATTGACAAATACTGACAAACTCAAGACGGTTATGCCTGTGGAGGTAACTGACTGTTTTCTCCAGAATTCGTCTGGGAGGGGAAGAAGAAGGGTCCTCCACCTCTGCATGCCTACACCGTACCAGGCACTTCTACAGCTCTGTCCCTAGCCTTCCGCAAATCTCTACTAGTTTGCTGGTATTCTTAGTTGGTATGTGGGAAACTGAGGCTCAGAGAAGTAAAGTCCATTCGCAGGTTGGTAAACAGTGGAGCTGAGGTTGCACTCATGTCTACCCAACCCCTGTTCTTTCCTGGCCACCGGGGTTGCAAATTCACCTGCCATCAGGAGCCAGCCCAGTGAACATCGGTGAGCATGACCATCACACGGCTGTGGTGGGAGAGCAGGGGTGCTGGGAATCATAAGAGGAACCAACAGGCCCATTTGCTGGGGACTTCTCTTGCTTTTAGCACATGTTCCAGCAAACTCCTCACTTGTGGGCAAACAGGGATGGGTGGGCTCCTAGAATGAGGCAGAGTGGAGAACACAGGCCCTGCTGGAGGCATTCCCCATTAAACCCACCTGTGCTCAGGTGCAGCTCTGCAATCTCAGACCTGGGGATGGCAGATGGGGTGTTCCCTCCAGCCAACAGGAGCCCAGGGCTTTCATTTCAGAACTTCTGAAATCTGAGATCAGAAGATAAGGTCCTATGGTGATGAGTGATGGATTTCAGAGTATATCACTAAGGGGAATTGTTGGCTTTTTCTGTAATGCCTCTCTTTCCATGGATTGCAGAATTCTACCTGGCCTAGGCTGGTCCTTACCTGTCAGCCTAAACTGGATTCTGAGGTTCCTGGAGAGTGGTAACATCTACCCAACAAGGTCATGCATGATGCAATAATAACAAACCATACAATGCATTAGATACTCTATAGGCAATGGCCCATTACATATGGATGCCGGAAAGGAGGCTCGAGGAAGGTTATTAATCAAATCAAAGCATGTAGTCACTCAGGAATATGGCACTGAGGTTAAGACTGTGTTCTTAGGAAGGTTGCTCTTTACCACTCCATAAGTCACTGCAGACAGACCTGAGTCAACTGGAGAGCTCTCTCCAACTTCCTAAACATTCCTAATGTCCTCATTTGGTGATACTGAACTTTCAACCGCTCTGGAAAAGGGAGGAACCACTGGACCTTGACGACTGTTCATCCACTTCCTTGGCTTTTTCATGGGAAGATGGGGGTCTGGTTCTAGGATGTCTCTGGGCTCTCCATCAGCTCTGGAGACCAGGAAGGAATCCTGGGGTGTTATGGACGTGGGGCAAAGTACCCAGCAGTACCTTCCACGGAGCACACACATTCCCGAGGCTGCTTGGCTGTCTGCCAACACCTGTCCCCTTCTCTCAGTCTGTCCCTTGGCTGGCATTTATGTTCTGCCCTCTTGACATGGCATCCTTTGGGAGGCCATCCTGCAAAACTCTCTCTCCCCAAAATTCCCAGGGCGCTCATTGCTTGCCCTATACCATTTGGCCTGTCAGAAAACACCATTTCATTCCCCAACCAGACCGTACTTCTCATTAAAGTGCAAAGATGTTCACTTTTTTTTTTTTTTAAAGATTTTATTTATTTATTTGACAGAGAGAGAGATAGCAAGAGTAGCAACACAAGCAGGGGGAGTGGGAGAGCGAGAAGCAGGCTTCCTGCCGAGCAGAGACCCGATGTGGGACTCAATCCCAGGACTCCAGGACCATGACCTGAGCCGAAGGCAGACGCTTAACGACTGAGCCACCCAGGCGCCCCAGATGTTCACTTTTTAATATTGTCTTCAAATCCATGTACTTCCAAATACCTGATTAATGATTATTGGTAAATATAACATGGCCTTTGAAAAAACTACTAAGCAAATATGTAGAAGACATATCACGGAAACCGTCGCAAAAGCAAAAGTAAATCATGGTGATGGTTATTTCAGTCCTGGCAGAGACTTCGAAGACAGGGACTCTTTTTTTTCCTTTTTCCTTTTTTTTTTTTTTTTTTTTTGCCAGATAGCAAAATATCTGAAACCTCAGCCTCTCAACCTCTTTGTCTTAATGTAATAATGGCCCAGGTTTTCAGAGAGAATCAATACCTTCTGCTCAGAATGGGTGAAAATAAAACAACGTACTTACTTGGAAGAGGAAGGAGTATTTTATGGATGTGAGGCAGGTGTCACAGGGAGTCCGTTCTATCTTCAGTCACTCTCTGCAGCACGTAATATCTGAAAATACAAAAAAAAGTGGCTATTGCTTTTTTACTTGACAAAAAGAGGCAGGCTGCTAAATACACATAGCAATAGGAAATAAGAATTCTTTTAAAAACTGGTGAATAAATTAAAAAACAGATAAACACGTAAGTACACCAAAATGTGCTGGTTCTTACATGTTTCATTTAGAAGCTAAGGGTTTTGCTCACTTCAACTATTTTTTTTAAGAAGACATTTGACCAGAAACAGCAATTATAGAGAAGGATATAAACATCAGGTTGTGAGAAGTCACATAAATAACGGCTTACAGGACATCATCTCATTTCCAGAACGGCTGCTCTGTGTATCCCAAGTCCAAGTCTACCCAAGGTGTGATAGGGTGTTAGCTTTTCAAAGGGCCCCGGGGCCCATATGGTGCACAATCCCCATCGCAGAACTGGAAACAGGCCCACTCAGGTAAGGCCCTTGGCACAGACCAGTCAGCTGGCTAGGGCAGACTCCTGATAGCCATAGGAGCGGCCTTCCCCTGCACTGTCACACTCCCATGCCAGTAGTAATTCATTCATTCATTCATTCATTCATTCATTCATTCATCCATTCATTCCCAAGTACTGACAGGAGCACTTTCTATGGACCAAGTTCTTTTCTAGGCTCTGGGGGTTAAGAAAAAAATCTCTGGCCTCAGAGTTTATGTTCTAGAGAGGGGAGACTAAATACAATGAGTGCTATCTCAGAATGGTCTTGCCACAATGGCGGCTGGAGACCTCTGAAGGCGGTGAGGGACCAAGCCATGGGTCAATTGGGGGAAACACACTGCAGGCCGAGGGGGCAGGGAGGACGGTGAGGCACAAAGAGCACCGGAGACTGGCAGGACGGGAGCAGGGGACACCTGGGGACACGGGAGTAGTGGCTAAGTCTGAGGCACTGGATGAACCGACCAATGGAGAGCACATGACAGGGAAGCTGATGAAGCACAGAACTTTGGAGAATGTCTACTTAAAAGGAGGGCAGGAAAGAAGGAGATTGGGGAGAAACATTTCGAGGCAGGAGAAAAACCGAAGGGAGTGGTCTCCCAGAGGCCAGCAGGTCAGTGAGCTGCTAGCTTGGGCCGTGGGCTCTGAAGGAGAATACCTCCAACACAGTGAGAAGGGGTGGTTGCTGCTATATGGCCGGTTGTGAAAAAGGGGGTATGGAAACCTGACTAGGGCAAAACGCTGCAGGATTCGGAGGGTTCTCTGATGGCGGGCTCCGAATATTGGAAATGCAGTATCTGTTTTCACGCAGACGTTTCACTGGTGGCAAGACTAATGCAAACACATGATCCTTAAGGTGGACTTTCACACCAAATTTAGGAAGATTTAAAATATGTCTAAATTCAATTAAATGTATAAGGAAAGCAGAGGCCTTAATCATAGTAGGGTTCAATGCCAGTGTTATTATCCAAGCCCCAATTTTACAAGCGTGTCTTTAAGAAGCATGTACAAAATAGATGATTTAAATAAAAGCATCAACAGGCATCCAATGGCAAATCATCACTGCTGGCAAGGCCAACAGGTCCAAAAATAATCACTAAATGACTGAGGAGTCCAACAGTAAGGAAAGTATTTGGTGATTCCTTTAAGATGAACTTTGAAACTATTGGATACGTTTAAATTACTGGAGACATTAAAAAATCTTTTTTAAATCCCATGCTATGTAAACCTATTAAAACAAAAATACTTCCATGCAACAGTCTGCTGTGTGTTCTGAAAAGGTTCAGCAGGAAGAAAAAAAAATGATAGTTTATATTTATGACATTTATGATAGATAACAAATAAGACCACATAGTGGAACTGAAAGTCAACATGAGATATGGAACAGATCTGCGGCCCACACAACCCCTACTAGACATTAGCAGTAGTGGATACGGTGTAAGTTGAATGGCAATTAGAGAGTTCTGGATTGGGGACCTGATGCTACTATCTCTCTTCTGAAGGCTTCCCTCCCCACCCTTTCTGAAGAACTGGTCGCCCCTCCTTGGTATCGCCAAATTAAATGCCTCTGTTCTCTCTGTACCCCGTATTGTTATGCTTTATTATTCATTTCACTCTCTCTCTTCTTCCATAGGGCCACTTCTTACAGAGAGGGCTATGCATCTATCTTTCTCTCACGCATGCTTAGCACAGACCCTAGCACATGGTAGGTGCACAAAACTACAGAATAAAATAATGAGAGAGGAAAAAAAAGAAACACACTTAAATGAGAGGCCCCATGTCTCTTCAAATAGTTTTCCAACCCAGGCAAATTTTGGAGGGTCAATTCTGAGATGGTAATCAATTGCTAATGACATACGTCCCTCAGTTCTCTTGGTATCACGGATGTCCGAGTATCCAGCCAGAAAGCCACCCATAGGTATTATACTGCAACCCTTACATCCAAGAGCATGCAGTGCACATCGCTCCTTCCTTTCTACAATTCTTTTCAGGCTGTGTTCAGCCCAGCTGCTTTGTGGCACATCATACTCTACACGGAATGACTTTGTTTTTAAACTGATTACCATTTTTCCTGCTGTGATTACGAGCCCCTGGGAGAAAAAGTTAGAAAGTACCACTTCGTGTTTTAATTTAAAAAATTATATATTCTAGTTCATGCTAATGGACTTATATTTGATTGACCAGGAATGTCATTCTCTCATCAGGAAAGAGCCACAGAATTACAAGGAGGGGAGAGAACAAAATTTTCAAGTGTCTAAGAAATTCACTTTTACAGTTTTATCTCAGAAATACATAAAGACTAAAAAAAAATAAAAAAATAAAAAAAAAAGAAATAAAGACTGCCCTGAATGTAGTTAAAAAAAAAAGGAGCTGTGATTCATCTGAGGATAAAAGTACAGATTCTGTTACTTTGCAGAAAGATAAATAACATTTTATTTAGTGCCATCTGAAAAATGCCCTTTTAGTATATGTTAAGAGGCCCTTTGGGATATCCTAGTACATTACACAATATCCACGCACATTTATATTTACATCACATTTTTAAGGAGTTCCTTCTAGACACACAAAGTCTTTCAAGATCCAGCCCACAAGAGTCAGCGTCACTTAGAACTATTTCCCATAGCTTCCTATTTCCCACAGCCTAATGGAGCTGTGTTCACAAAAGGAGGTTTCCAATGTTGCGGAGGAGGACAGCAATCATTTACTCTTAAGGCAGCCCACTTCTTGGAAATTCTGTAAGACCAAGGCCGTTTAGGAAGCATTTCAGGAGATGAAGAGGAGGAGAGGGAGAGACAGTCATGGAAATGCACCCGTTTATTCTTCCCCAACCGAGTGTCTGAGCCTGGCTGTTGGGTGCTGCTCTTTTGCACGCCTGCGGCAGGGAAGCATGTCAGGGGAAGAACGGAGGTCTGGAAGGGAAGCGTGGGGTTGGGGTGTGTGACGGGGAGCAAGAGCACTGTGGCAGACTGTGCCCTCTGCCACTGCAATGCAACCTTCTCCAGTCTGCACCAGGCGTGCCTGGTGTCAGCGGAGTCCACGCGGGAAGCAGGTGCTCTCAGGAGAGTGACCCTTCTCACATCCAACCCACCACACGTGGTGTCCTAACTCGCAGCCTGCCTATCGTCCTAGAGACCCTGCTTTACACTGAGCGCCTAGCAAACTTTGTCAGTTCAGATGATGCTCCCTTACAATAAAGGACCACCTCTCACAATACTCTTTAGTTTTTCTTAACACTGTTAGCTGAGAGAAAGAGGACATTAGATGATGTATTACACCTCGGGATAGATGAGGGAGGGGAACGCGGAGTGGGGCGGGGGGAGAAGCCCAGTTAAGTATGCTGAAGTTTTCCTTTGCCCAGGAATATACGGAACCCCTTCAACCAGATGAGCGCTTTAAATCAAAGCAGCTATTTTAACAAAATAGGTAAATGGCAATGTGTGGCTTTTCAGGAGCAGGGAAATAGTTCCTGACAGCCTTCAGCTATCAGCAGGGCTCTCCTCTGATAGCAGAGACGCATGGTGGCAGCCAGCCAGCCCTGTGACTGGTGAGTCAGTACACAAGTTTCTGTGGTCTCCCAGTCAGATACAGTAAGGACATCAATTTTTAAGTGTGAGGACTAAATGATAACAAGAGGGTTCTCCTGGTGTAAAACCACCCTATGGCGAAGGTACCCTGAGAAACAAAAACTCACATTGCGTTTGTTTGGGTGTCTTTCAGCTCAGCCGTGGCCATGTAGATATTTCTCCTCCAGAATAGACCATCTTTATTATAGAATTTAAGATCATTTATGGTCTGATTTGGAAAACAATCCAGGCAATCTGTTAACAGGAATTTTTAAATGCTGTCAAACCTTAGGTAAAGTGGTAAGAACCCCACCTTTCTGCGATTTCATTTCAACTCTGAAAGCAACGTCCCTGTTAAACAAAGCCCCGAGTGAAAAATCTCCCTTTGGCACGGCTGACTACACACCTATGTATATTTTTGGCAAAATAGGATATGCTAATATTCTCCATATTAAAAAAGCTTAATGAAAAACTACAAGCGGTGAAACAAAGAAAACCACCCAAAATGAAGGCTGCACACATCTTTGAAGAAACAATAGCACATTACTTCTGCTAAGATCCTGCGTCGACGCCAGGAGAATCGCTGCCCCGTCCTCATTAAAGTGTGTCTCACTGAACTCTCCTTGATTGCTCATTATTCAGGAGAGTACGGACTCAATACAAACAAAGTCAACCGGCTACTGAAACGCGCCTCCAAAGACACCTAAATGGATGCAACATCAGACTTTCCCAAACAGAAGAGCACCAATAAGCATCATTCCCCACTACATACACTCTTGAATCCAGGTCAAAACAATATTCCTTCATGAACAGGATAGCTGTTTACCAGCCGAGCCTTCTCCAGGAGAACATAATCATAGTCTGGGAACGCTGGAGTATGCATGATATTAACAAAAGCAAGATCAAATTAAACAGATGACAAGAGGAACACGCTTCATTTCATGCATGGCCCTGTTTTTCTTGCGAGAGAAAGCCTCAA